CTGAACCGCAGCGAGCTCAGAACCGAACAAGGTCGAACGCTCGCAACAGCCACAGTACGTGTTTCATTACATAAATCAAATATTATGCACGTGTAACCTATAATTGACCCAATTTAAGCGAAAATAGAATATAAGAAATGATTTGTTAGAAATTACACTTAAAAAATGTTTACGGTAAAAAATGAATTGACAGTGGAAGAGTATCTTAATTCGATTAATTAATTTCTTGAAAAAAATTAAGAGTGATGGGGGTAAATTTAGAGAAGAATAATGTTTTTCGAAAATTCTTTACCATCGCAGTGTAAGAAATCAAAAACGACGCATTTTTGAATTCAAGAAAATTCACAATTTTTTTGAAGAGGGGTGCTTTTTTCTCCAGAACTGTTTCATTGTCGAAAGAAAAATTGGTCATTAGCGTCAATTGAACTACATTTCAGCAAAGTTTCAAACTGTTTTGAATTTTCAAGTTGCCAAACTTCCCTTGTAAGTTACATTGATAAAAAAAGTTCAAAAATATAATTCGAATCATACCCAAGCATAAGTTAAAATGAAATTAATAATACATGTGAAAATAACAATATCGTAAAATTCGCGGTAATATAGAAGAATATTCTGAAGGTACAAGACTTGGCACAAATCTCACACTAAAGCAGTTTAACGTTGGACGTCTGCTCGATAAATGAATTCGTTAGTGTATTTGATAGTCGCAACCTTGGTCCACGCACATACTAAACACTCCGCTTCAAAGTGAAATCGAATTAACGCTCGATTTCCACTTCAAAGTGGAATCAAATCCAAGGTCGATTTTTCGTTCGGTTCAAAGCGAAATTAGATCAATCACCAGTGCGTAAAGTTTTACGGTCAAGAAACACGCACGCGGCACAGAGAAACTGTGAGATCTAAATTTTCCGCGTGTCTAATAATTCTTAACTTATGCAGCCGTTAAATTTGAATTGTTCGAAAACTGAAAATATCTTTCAAAGTGAAATTTCCTTCATAAAAATCTGAAAAAACATGACTGATCTTAACAGAAACATGACTAATGATAGTAACATTACAATAAGCAGCACTATGTCTTTTGCAAACAATATTTCCCATTCTTGTTTATACAAAATATTTTTTATCCCACTATAATAAAACGTCACTGCGTATAATAAAATATCCTAACCTAACCTAACTTAAGCAAAAAATTTAAATTTCATTGACTAAAAAGCAAACTAATACCAAATAAGTAAACAAAATTCTACTGAGGAAATGTGACTTAATCCTGGCAATTATCGCATTTTTTGGACCATAAGACGCACCCGAAATTTATGGGACGACTTTTAGAAAAGAATATTTCATTAGGTATATAAAGATATTTTCAGATTCTTGCTTCATTTGTTTATTGTTCAAATAATTCGTACTAGCAACATTCAGCTCATCTCCACTCTCGGTACTATCACTGGCGTGCTGCACTAATTTTACTAACATATCGCGCCAGTAATTGAACTTCTCCAATAGCTTCGATACAGTACAAAGATTCGTACTTTAATGTTACCTTCGGACCATAGACGCACTCTAATCTTAAGTCGATTTTTCTACGTAAATAGGTGCGTGTTATGGCCCGAAAAATACGGTGACTATTTATTTAAACAAAGTACTTACCATTAATCAAAAAGAAAACCGACCAAATAATTAGAAGTGTCTTTTTTCTTGAAAGGACATTTCTCACGTGTACAAACTAAATTTGACGTATATAAATTTATTCAGGTTGGAAACTGCTTAACCAAATATTTCATTGCACACCTTAACCGACGTAATAAAATTTCAACGTACGTGGGAACGCTGATATCTATCCATTTTATTACGAAAATAATTTCGTGCTTGACGCGTCCATGATTAATCGTTGTTTAATATGTTTCGCGGTGGACGAAGGTGGATTATCGGAAATCAATAAGCGATCAAATTATCGAATCCATCATCGCGAAACAAACCGCGCTGGATATGTCTACATTAACCGCCGGCGGTTATTAGATTATTAGAAATCTTCTCCCCTCGCGGTTTGCGTCTTGAACCGAGGAATCACGTGAGAACCTCGTTATTATTTTTGTCGAGAAGCACGGAACACGAGTTACCTTTTTACAACTAATGGCGTTCGCCATTGCGAGATCTCGAGCAGACGTGAATTTACTTTACCATTAAGCTGAATTGTTTCAAAAATCGAACCTTTTAAATGCAACGAATAAATAGAGACCTGCCGCAACCAGGCTGGCAGAGTTGGCAAAATTTGGAAAATTGTTTCCAGGTTAAACGACGCTTTTAAGCTTTTTACCATTGAAGAAGAAAAAAACAAACTGTAATTTAATTCGGTGATTTGTTTATACAGGGTGGCCACTGAAAGACTGAAGGGTTTGAAAAAGTCATAACTTGTTCATTTTCAATGTTTTTTTATTTTCTTTTGTTGTAGGTTATAGAGCATCCCTTGGAGATTGAAATGACTACGTACGATGTCCAGCAACGAGTAAAACTCATCGAGTTTTTCTATTCCAGGGAAAGATCAATTATTCAAACTTAGAGAAAATGCTGAATTTGTTTAGCCTCCGCGTTCACCTGATTCGACGGCACCAGACTTCTTTCCGGAGGGCTACTCGAAGGAACGGGTTTACGTAAATAAACCTCGAACAATTGAAGAACTTAAGGAGAACATTCGAGCCGAAATCCGACGTTTAGGACCTGAAACCTTGCGTACTGTATTTGTGAGCAGGGAAATGGTGGTCATTTGAGGGATGTTGTTTTTCACACGTATTACTGAAAGAAATCCATCAATTATATTTCCAAATGAAATAATAAAAAATTTAAAAAACGTGTTTGTAAAAGTTACTTTTGTTTTATATCATTCAGTCTTTCAGTGACCACCCTGTAATACGAAGAAGTGAATGTAAAAGTGTAATAAAATTCGGTTATTCGCGAAAGTAAAGAGAGTTTATCAAATATTAGCTGTTATAATTTACAACGTATGCTTAATTTAGAGGAAATCGATGTTAGAAAACAGAGCGCGACGATTTAAAGTGTCCAATATTTTCCCTTTTACGCGGCAATTTTCTAAAAAGCAAACAGAAGGTTGAAAAAATATCTGTATGAAAGTGGAAATCTCGCGACGTATACCGTGTAATCCGTAGAAAACACATTTTCAATCACCCCGTGTCGGAACACACGCACGCGACACTCCACACGTACGCGAAATTCAATATCAACTTGAACAACCACGCGTCCCTTCGTGTCGATGAAAAAAAGAAGCGAGAGACAACCTAACTAATGGCGAAGAATGTTCGAAAAATAGTCTGTTCCATCAGGACAGTCCGTAAATTCGATATCATAAGTACGATTTACCGTAACTCATTTCGTAGGACAATGTACTTTTAAATTTTCTTGTACAGTAGGGCTCTCTGTAACGCGGGAAATTCAAATTGAGTTGCACTGAGAAATCGCTTTTTGGGTGCAGTTTCTTCGTATTTTTCTTCAGCTTTAGAATTTTTACGTTCTTTTCTGTTTTGAGAAAAAACGGGTTCTACTGTATTTTCTTCTGAAATGTACACTCAAGTGGTCAGTTTATCATGGATTAAAATATTAGGTCGTTCCGTAAGTTCGTGTCGAATTTTATAATTTAGATCAAAATTTTCAACAAACCTTTAAATTTGATATAAAAAAGAGTAAGTACGTTCTCATTCCACAACTTTTTCATTTTCTTTTTTTTTTTTTTTGGAAGACCATTATGTCGTCGCTACAGAATTTTCTTGGATTTTCATAAATATATCTT